AATCACTCTCGACAAAACTCGGCAATCTCCCACCGGCAAGCGAAATCACCACCCCAAACGACTTCCACACGGCATTTGCGGCACTCACCGAGGCGATCAAAACGACAGTTGGCGAACGGGTCCCACGCACCAAACCATCCCCATACGCCAAACGCTGGTGGTCCAAAGACCTCGAGAGGGAGCGCAAGCTCGTCCACAAACTAGGAAGGAAATCACACACCAGATTAGCGAGACGATCCGATCCGATCCACGAGGAATATAGGGTAGCGCGAAACAAACTGTCGGAAAGCATCAAGACCGCGAAAGCACAACACTGGAAAGTATGGTTGGAGGAACTCACCTTATCAGGAACGTGGTCATTCCACAAATACGCCGCCAGTAACCCGGAGGACCAAATCCACACTCGTATCAAGACGCTGCAAGACCCTCAAGCAACCCCAAACGCCACCACGCAGGACAACAAACGAAAAAGCGAATTACTCTACGAAGTCTTCTTTCGCCCACCGCCGGACAACAACTTCATCGATCCAGAGTTCATATATCCCCCCCCGGTATGCGAGTTCACACCAATTACTGACCAACAGATCCACAGAGCCATATCTTGTCTCTCCCCGTACAAGGCCCCTGGCATCAACGGCGTAAGTAATGTTGTGTTTACGAAGTGCGCTGACCTCCTGGTACCGTTTATGGCCCCCATCTTCCGAGCAACGTTTACCCTGGGAATATACCCGGAAGAATGGAAATGTTCTTCAACGGTTGTCCTACGGAAGCCAGGGAGACCGGACTACAGCGTCCCGAAGGCTTATCGACCGATCACTCTCCTCGACACCATGGCCAAAATCCTATCATCATGCGTAGCTGATGACCTCACGTATATAGCAGAACGCCACAACCTCCTGCCACCCACTCACTTCGGCGGAAGACCCGGAAGGTCAACGACGGACTCGCTGCACTTACTAACCAAATTCATTACAGACGCCTGGGCCTCTAAGGATAAGTTTGTCTCACTCCTGTTTCTTGATGTAAAAGCGGCATTTCCCAGTGTAGTTGTACCCAGACTTTTGCACGACTTACGAAAAGCAGGCATACCGCAGGAATACGTGGAATGGTACGGCAGACGCCTCGAAAACCGCAAGACAGTCATGATCTTCGACGACTTTCAATCCGAAGCCTTCAACGTTGCAGACGGCGTCGACCAAGGGTGCCCCTTATCACCGCTAGGCTTTATTTTCTATAATTCAGGAGTTCTACAGGTAGCTGACCCCAACCCTCGTAGGGGCGAAATTAGTTTAGGATTTATCGATGACGTTGCGCTGGGCGCCAAAGGCAAAACGTACGAGGAAGCCAACGAAAAACTCAAAGGGATGATGGAAAAGGAAGGCGGCGCCCTCGAATGGAGCAAAGAACACAACGCGGAATTCGAGTTAGACAAAACCGCCCTCTTATGCCTATCAAGACAACGAATCCCAAGTACCGCCAACCCGCGCAAAACGATACCATCCCCTCGTCCCTCAATAACAATCAGAAACCACACGATTGATCCCTCTCACGCGCACAAATTCCTCGGAGTGATTTTCGACGACGAACTAAGGTTCAACAATCACGCGGACTTTGCATTAGCCAAGGGAACGAAATACGCATTAGCCTGCAAGCGAATGCTCAAGCCAACGAAGGGGATACATGGTAAACTAATGAAGCGACTCTACGAGGGAGTAGTAATCCCAAAGATGACTTACGCTGCAGATGTCTGGTGCACTGGGATAATCGCCAAGGGACGAAGCAAAAAGGGGGAGGGCAGAGCGGCGAGGGGATTCGCCTCCAAGATGGCGAGAGTCCAGCGCATAGCCACCCTACTAATCACAGGAGGACTAAGATCATCCGCTTCTGACGTTCTTGACGCGCACGCTAACGTTCTACCGATCCAACAGATGATTCGTAAAATATGTCAGAGAGCCTCGCTCAGAATGGCCTCACTGCCAGACACGCACCCACTGGCCAAAGGAATCAGATCAGTGTACGCATATTGCGAGAAACGCGACTTCCAAGGTCGTAAACGTCATCCCTCCCCCCTACACAAGCTAGCCAACGAATTCAGAATCAATCCGTCAACGATGGAAAAGATCGCACCTGCTCGTCACTTCCCTAAATGGACCCCCGACATCGAGATCAACATAGCGGTGAAGGAAAGAGACGCGATCAGGCAGGACGAGGAGGCAAGGGAGAACCTCAGGGCCTATTCGGATGGGTCAGCAGTGGATGGAGGGGTTGGCGGGGCTGCAGTTTTAATGAGAGAGGGAGTTATGATAAAGGAGAAGAGATTCTACCTGGGCAAGGTCGAGGAGCACACGGTCTACGAGGCGGAAATAGTCGGGATGATATTGGCAATCCAGCTGTTGAGGGAAGCGGGAGGGGAAGGAACAATGGCCCTGGGAGTAGACAACCAGGCGGCTATAAGAGCAACAGGATCGTTTCAGTCACAGCCGGGACATTATCTCGTCGACATACTCCATGATGACCTAAGGACGCTATTACCGGACGACGACGGAAGGAAACTGATACTACGTTGGACTCCGGGACACAAGGGGTTAGCGGGAAACGAGAGCGCGGACGCCCAGGCAAAAAGAGCAGCCAGGAGGGAGATATCAGAGGGCAAGGACTTACCCAGATCACTAAGGACGAAACAGTGTCTCCCCGTGACACTCCCCATCAGCAAATCAGCGTCCAAACAGCTCTTTCGAAGTCAGATCAAACAAGAAGCGAAAACTATAACGCGCAGCTCACCCCGTTATAAATTCATGCAATCAATCGACCCCACCACCCCATCGAACAAATACGAAATCATAGTCGAAGATTTCCCCCGCAGACATGCATCGCTTCTGTTTCAACTGCGCTCCGGACATGTCCCATTAAACAAATATCTACATCGAATCTCGAAATCCCCCTCCCCGCGATGCCTACAGTGCAATGAAAGAGAAGAGACAGTTCATCACTTCCTACTATCGTGTCCCAAGTACGCCAGACAACGCGCAACACTGAGGAAAGAAATAGGCCCACGCGCAAGCCAACTCCAAAATCTACTCAGCAACCAGTACTGCACGAAAGCCCTATTCAAGTATATCGCAGGCACCAGAAGATTCGAACAGCAGTTCGGCGACGTCTCCCCCCCAGACTCGAAGGAAACCGCAGAGACTTAAGTCCAACGACAGAAACAAGATCCACACCTCTTACCATCATCGGCCGCTTGCAAACCGGCGCCAACGTTCTCGCCTCACCGCCGGAACCACTACAAAATATGACATCGCAGATCAAGCACAAGCAGGGAAGATTAGATACATACTGTATGTAATGTCTACTATAGGGCTACGCCCCAACGGACAATAAACTAGAATAAAAAAAAAAAAAAAAAAAAAAAAAGCTCACAGGGTCAGACATCTCTATGTCGAACTTGACTCGAATCACTGAGGGTAGTAGAGACAATGAATATCAAAACCAAAGACCTTTATGATCAGTGCTGAAAGCTAGGAAATTAATTGACAGTTGATGTAAATCAGTGCCACTGTGCGACACTGAATCGCTCATTGACAAACAATGAATTTAATGTTGGGGTGATAATCATTGTCTGATCCAAATTCATTGTCAAGTTTTTATTTTGTCAAAAAAAGAAAAAAAGAAATCCACTAATCTTTGCCACTTGCCTGGTTTGAACTCACGACTCCCGACCACGCAAGCTCAGCTGCAATCCCATAATCAATTCTCACACATTTGAGCATTACTTACCACTAGACTACATAACCTTGTATATATCTATGCAGCAATTGATATATATACCATACCCATGGGACTTAGAATAAAATATGATAATCTACTCATACGATCAATATGGTACACCGTGGGAATTATTCCGATAAAAATTAAAGTTGCAGTCCTTGTTAAGGGTAGTCTATTGATCGTCTCATGACATTTTTTGGTTAAGATCCTAGTAAGTTATACGCGAAATACTAGAAAGGTGGAGTGTTCAAGAAAGTTCAGGCACACAACTAATATTGCTTATTGCAGCCGTCCCTAGGAATAAATATAAATTCTCCTTAGCTGCCTCGGTCAGTGAATTTGTTTGCTAAGTAAATTATGGAAAAATGGGACTACGTGATTTGCTAATGTCATTTTCAGTGTCCTTAAAATTTTGACAATGAATTTTATACCCTTACATTCTCGCGGGTAAAATTCAATGTCCCCAGTTGTCAATGAATGCAAGTAACCAGAGATTAAGTGACACTGGGAGTGAATTCAACACATTCATTGCCACTGTCACTTAATTTAATGGTTTTTACTTCCCACAGTGAATTTGCCCCCTACGTTCCAAAAGCTCTTTGACGCATCACCCATTGTGGCGCGTATCTAGCTTGTTGGGACGTATAGCTCTCCTCAGACACGGAGAACCATACACAAAACCTGCATCACGGTGCACACAACGTCAAGTTGGCATCAATGAGGCGTGCTGCATTCAAAGATTGGCTCTGTTCTGATAGAAGGGAGGGCCCATAGACTCGCGAGCATCGCAATAGCCGTGTCGTATTGAAGGACCAGAGACTCAGATACGGGATATTGTCCGCAGTATTGAGAACTTTCAACTAATTGTGCGGCATCTTTTAGTTGGACGCCTGAAATTTCATAAGGTTCATAAAATGTACTTGTGCTGTGAGTATACATCCGTACCTCATCGATGACCCGTCCGCGCCAGGAAGGAAACGAAGGATGCGTGAATATTTTGGACGCGAGCATCTCGATAAGTATTCTAAGTGGATGAAGCACGTTCTTGATCGACGTTCTGGAGAATACTAGGGACGCGACTGCAGGCTGCAACAAAATACGATCAGCCTTGCTACCAAAATTTTGATCACGCCAGTCCGGGAAATTCGGCAGACTCTGTATTTCAGTATAGTTGTACACTTCTTGGCTTGGTCGCTGGCGGACTATCGAGTTCAGTTAATCACTTCCACACCTGAAATGCTCAGCTTGGGTTAGAACGGCCAGCAGCTAGTGACAGCTAGTAATAGCACCACCAAAATATCGTCTGCATCTGTGGTCTGGAGTTTGAACTGTGATGGCGTAGGTATCGGTGATCTACAGTAGAGACATCCATTGCAGATCTCCCTTGTTCGTCTCCACCTCCCATATTTTAAGTTCTAAGTATTGATGGCAACCTGGCACGGAAAGTCCTGAATATGAGTATATCCTGACATCAGGTCCATGCAGCCGTACCTGTGATATGGTCATCAGTCATCGAGGACCGAGGAAGATTTGAAACGATTAAGATGCTCCTGGACCTCGCGCCACGCGTTCGTGTGGCCGCTGGGGCTGATGTCGACCTCGTCGACGCAAGGGAGCATAGAGAAGATGATACGAGCAACAGCTTCTGTATCTTCTACCTGAGCGGTGCCCACATACAATGTTTGTAGAGATGTATGCCGAAACGTCTCCGCCGCAGGGTCAATGTCGATATTCACAGTGTCCATTAAGATACTGAGTTCATCCAAATGGAGACATTGACGGAGCGCTGCGAATAGTCCACGGAAGGTGATGGTAGCTTGATGATAACGCCAGTCTTCCAACTTCAGCGAGCGGATGTGTGGCCAACACGACATGGCTTCGAAAAGAAGGTCGTTGTCAAGTTGGGCGCAGCAATAAGGAAAATCAAGTTCTAGGGTTCGGAGCTGCGTACAAGGACAGAATTGTGTGATTGCTGTCAACGAGTTGCCCAAGGGATCCTGAACTCCTGGAATGTATGACCTGATGGTAATGTCTTCAAGGGTCTGTGATGCTATGCATTGGGACATCGCAAGAAAAAGCCGTTTAGCCTCTGCCCAAGGCAATTTATCGACAGCAAGCCCAAATCTCTTCAGCGAAGGGAATTCTGAGTGTTGCATGAGTGTTGTGATGTATGCAGCCGTGTCTGCTCTGAAACAAAGAGTTGTGAGGTTGAGGAAAGATCCGAAGTTGACATTATTGAGGTCCGATGGGGAAGGGACTATATTCTCCATATTAACCGTGACTGCGACAAGAGTAAGGAGGTTGGACAGGTGCTCCCATGCTGCCCAGTTGAGGGGTGGACAAGACAGTGCTACAAGCCGCTCGCACATACGGACACTGTCAGATTGCAGGGATAGCTTATGTGCTGTGGTTTTCCCGGAGTCCATAATACATAAGTGCTCCAAAGCAGCACAATGGGTCACAATCAATGTCAAACCCGGATAAATGTCCGGTAGGACACAACGACGCAGCGTGGGAGACAGGAAGAGATGCAAGTATCTAGTCGGACGAATATCCATGACCAACGACTGCAGTCTTGGGAACATGCATGTCTCCTTGGGGAGGACTGAGAGAAGGCGAAAATTGCGCTGAGACGCTAGATCGAGATTCATTGAGCGCACACGGGCAGCGTGACGCAAGAATTCGCGGGCTTCATTCTCCGATAATGGTTCGAGGCCGCCTAAGTAAGCAGGGTCATGCCAGGAGTGCTGTGTCTGGGTGCTAGGTGAACAACGGAATGAAATGAGCGCAATAATCTGCACTCACCTCTGTACAGTATATTATTGGACGCAACCTTGTTACACAGCCTAGCAGTGGAATTAATCCATGTATGTCAGCCCAAAGCTCGTTCATCGCGGGTTCGTGGAATGTTTTGCATGTCGTTGCAAGTGCTGCAAGGGATGTCCGCACCAATGACTTGTTCTTGCGGCCTTGATTTACTTTCACATGCGTGCATATCTCCAGGAGGATTTCGCAAACGAGTAGAGCCCGATGCATCAATTGGGTGTTGATGGAGTATGCAGTATTGCGACAGTGCAGAGAGTCCTAGAGCCTAGTACACAGCACGGACGCGAACAAGGGTTGAAAAAACCTCGTTGACTCCGAACGTCGGTCATGAAATTAAAATCTCAGGTTGAATGCCCGCTGTCATTTTGCACCTTCCTGAGTGCAGTGGTGGTCACTACCGATGCCTGCCATGACAAGAACTCCGACTTGAGGTCGTTGCCACTTTTTTCATCCCGAGAGTTTCAGACACAGGAATCCGATTCAGGAGATAAGCCCCGACATCCCAGTGGCCCAGCCTACTACCTACTAGTGCTCCTACTATCATGGGCCACCTGCGCCGCGTCGAAATTCAGCGCCATCGGAGGCCTCCATCTCGATTCTCGATAGGTTAACAGGTGAGACCTGCGATCCTCCGAGGGCTTGAGGTCTGGAGATTTTTACTACGAGGATTAGCACGACATGCCCATACGAATCTCTCAGGCTGACCATGGTTGAACCGCGTAGCATAAACAAGTTTTGCACCCTAGATTCTTAGAATTTAACCATCGGAGCAGAACAAATGAGAGTGACCGCTGGAAGTAGGATAACCTAGCCTGAGGTCCGGAATGATTGATAAGACCATGACTGATTCAGGCTTGACAACGCTACACCCGATCGAGTCCTAGGATAGACGCGCCTCCACCCTTCTCTTCCATCAATCTCGAGATCAATTGCTAGTAAGGTCTATCATATAGACACCCATATAGGTTGTTACCAACTTCTTGACTTGGGGTCTTTGCGCGTTTCATGTGCAATGTCATCCGCAAATTTTCTCCCAGATTTGTCTCCGCCTGACGTGCAACAAGCAGCGCAAGTACATACTTCAGGTTTGCACTTCTTTGGACAGATCTCTTACAACACTTCCACAGTTGATACAACAAGCATATTCGAGCGCACAGGCCCAGGTGGATCAACGACGGATCCAACAAGAGCTGGTCGAAATTCAGAGACGACCTGAGGCATGGGGGTTGATTGTACCTTTCCTCGAACATCCCGATACAAATGTGCAATTCTTTGGCGCACATACTGCGCAGGTTAAGATCATGCGCGACTGGTAAGTGCTCTACCTTTTCCTCCTTTCAATGGTACCGATCAACTGCTATATTGCTGCAGGGATTCATTTCCTGAGGAAAACGCCGAATATTTGCGAGACTTACTGCTCAAGCTCACCTCTCACTCGACATTGACGGGAAAAGGCAAAGTAGTTTGCCGCAAACTGTTTGTTGCAGTGAGTTCAAGTCCTAGACTGAAGTTCTTCTAGTGATCGTTTGCAGATCACATCACTTGCACTCCGCATTGCGCCTGGTTCACCCTCAAGGTGGCCAGACTGGATAGTGTCGGCAGTGAATTCTCTCTCTTCCTCCGGCATGCCTCCAGAACAACTCCTTGCCTTTCTTACCATAGTCGCTGAAGAGGTCGAAACGGCCGACCTTCTAGGGCCCAGTAAGTGAGTGCGACGATTGGAATCACTCTGCATCATCACCAATCTCGTACCAGGATGCAAATGCACCAGTCTCTTCTTGACGCCTCTCCGATGGTAGTCCAAGCTGTAATAACGTCGATCACTCGACCGACTCTCATATTGCCTGAACTGCAATCTGCACTCAAGTGCTTTCAAGCATGGATATACACATTACGGGCCAAGTAACGTTCTTTTATACTCTCTGCTCGATTTGCAACTTAATGCATCACATAAGTGATATCACACCCATTATTCCGCTGTTGATCACGATAATGACGCCCGCACCAGACTCTGGATTTGACGAGTCGACTTTCTCAACGGCTTCTGATGTCTTGCAGGAGATCATGACGAGGTCTTCGTTGGCTGGAGGTGCGGGTACAGGCACGTTGACGGAGCCGCTTCTCGTGTGGCTTGATGCCTATGGAGATCGTGGTGAGCCTTGTTGGTTGCAAATGCTCACTCGATATGAATACTCACTGTTATCCGATACCCAGCCGGTTCAGTCGACGGTGTGTCTCATTCACTTTGTAAATTGCTGGTCGCCCTAGGAGATCACTCCACCATGTTTTTCGCCTCCAACATCACATCGCTAAAACCCGTACCCGGAACACCCTACTCGCGCGCCTACTTTGTGCAGAAGTTCTTGCACCTCCTTTTGAGATATACTGGATTACCAGGTTATTACGGCGTCGACGAAGAGGCGAGCGAGATGACGCTGGGCTTTTGGTACCTCTTTCAAGAGTCGTTGTGGAGCGTGGAGTATGAAGACCAAGCTGAGGATCAGGATGGTATACCTTCACTTCTTGATGTCAAGGAAAAGGAACAATGGTCCGTCGTGAATGCGGTATACGTTCAACTTGTGGAGGTACTGAGAAGGAAAGTGACGTGGCCTGGCCAGCGTGCTCTCAGCTACTGGGCAAAAGGTGATGCATCTCTATCACGTATACCTGCCTTGTGCTCAAACAAGTTGCTTTACAGACGAAGTCGACAGGTTTCAAGTGTGAGTGGGCACTGTTCATCAATTCGAATGGCGTTGACAATTTGTAGATATCGGAGGGACGTCGGTGATACCCTGATCAATGCGTGAATAAGATGATCGACATCCCTTGTATCTTATGTTGATTCGTTCCCAGATATTACATCATGCGAAATGACATGCTGGGGTACTACCTTGAGGACATGCAAAAGCGCTTCGCACAACCAAATGGATCGCAAGGATGGGAGGTGAGCGGTTTTGCCGGCCTATAAGATGCTCATTCAATAGATGCCACCAGGAAATCGAAGCCACTTTGCACTGTATCATGTCAATACAAGAAGCGGTACCGCTGGAAGATAACCCCTTCCTCGCCCGGCTGTTTGGACCTGATGTGCTTGGTCGTTTGCCAACTTCAGGTCAGGATCGAATACGTAGGACCATGCTTGGCTTGATTGGTAGGAGTATCGCACACGACTTTTGATCGTCTTCCTAACCTTGCGTGTTCAGCGGCGTACTCAACATGGTTCACAACCCAGCCGAAAGCACCGACACCCAACTCGACTCCGTCTCTTCTGATGAACGCCATTTCCTACGTTGTCACTGCTTTACCCGAGCCTGCATTATGTCTGCCGGCTGCAAATGCCCTTCGTGATCTGTGCGATGCTAATCGTGCTGCGCTTGCGCCTCATATTGGAGCGTTTGCGGAGCTGCATGCTGGATTGAGTGGTATCCCGGTACGTGAGATCCATGCATAGTCTGCATCTCCACTAACATGTAAGCATGACCAGGATACGGAAAAGAGCAAGGTTCTTCAATCAATTGCGAGTGTAATACAAGCATTGCCACCTGAGGAGGAGATTCCACCCATCCAGGCGATTGTCAGCCCAGTAGTCGAAAAACTTGCACAATCCCTGCACGTTTCCCCCCAGGTTCGTATTGGGCTAAACATGGTTTCCTCGAGGCTGAGTTGTTTTATCTTACGCAGCTCGTGGACGAAACTCGTATTGTCATCATTTCTCAGCTCCAGACATTGTCAGGGGTAGCCAAAGGCCTCACACGCACGCAAGACTCGTTGCTCATCCTTGACGAATCGCCCGAAGAGAGAGCCGAGGCTGAGCGCCTACAACGAGCACGTGACGACTACACGATGGTGAAAGTTCGCGAAGATCTGTTCAACACGATAAGAAATGTGACCACTTTCTGGTCCGTGGATGCTGGTGTTTCAGATGTATGTTCCAGAGTATTTTCACACACTATTCGACTGACATCAAACAAGGCATTGAGTGACTTTTTCCGCTCAATCACTTCCTTGCCTTCGGATATTACCCTGCTTTCGCTTCCTGCAGCTCCGATATTTGAGATTATATGTCTTGCATGCCAGAGGCAACTTACGGCTGTATGGCTATCCCTAGCAAACATGCTCGTCATACAGCTTGATCCGCCGATGTTATTTTCAGCCTCGACGCTTAAATCCGCACCGAGTCCCGAGGCGTTGGGGGTGATATCGACTCTACTGCCAATACTGCTCGAAGCATCGCTAGGAGTACTGGGACAGCCTGGGGCGATGGAAGCTGTGGGTTTACAATGCGCTTTCTGAACGAGGATCCTGATGACTCGTTTTTGTAGAATCCTGACATCGTACAGGCATTTTTCGGATGCATGGATACCGTGAGTACCGGATGCGGAATTAGAGACCTTATGCAAAGCTTATTTAAACCTATTAGATTGCGAAGCATTTCCTGGTTGGGTTTTATCGACTGCCACCCGGCGCCCTCGATGCGTTGATGCAATGTGCCGTGACTTCATTGTCGCTGCAAGAGCGATATTCGCTTGTTGCAACATGCACTTTTCTGGTAGTTATGGTTTTGTACTGATGCCTTACCGCTTCTGACTTGTTGAGAACAGGAAACACTCATCAGGCGAACAGCCAGTAGTGATGATCTGGGAGATGCAAGCACGATACTGATCCAAGGGCATGGTCGGCCGATCATACGAGCCATTTTGTGTGGCTTCGCGGGTGTGGCGCCAAGATCCGCGACGCAGAATCTGATCGAGCTGCTATCCATAGTGGCTTCCAAGTTCCCCGCAGAGACGAGAACGTGGATGACTGATATCTTGTTTGCGGTATGCATTGCTAGTTACTGGGCTGTGATGAGGTCTAACATGGGTGCAGGACGACTTTGTGCAATCAAAGGCAAACCCGGAGGCGAAGCGGACTTTCGTGAAAGCTATCATCGGGTTTGTAATGTCGTTCATACGAGCTTTTTGTACTGATTATGAGTAGGTCCCGATCGCCGAAGAAAACGAGGGAGGCAGCGCAGCAGTTTACACTTGTCGCCCGGGGCCTGGAAGGCACTAGCTTTGGATACGCCTCTGTTAATATTTGATGTTGAGAGTTTTGCTACTGGTCCGTTAATTCGACATTACGTTGAACGCGCTTGTGCGATTCAAGACCCGGTGCTCATCGGAGATGTCGGTCAGCACATTACACATGTCAACGCGTAGCTAGTACCACGCTACTGGGCGTGGAAGGGCAGAGGTGAGTGCGGCGGCCACTACTGCCAGCGCGCTGCAGGACCTCGCGGTTAGTCTAGCGAAGCTCCCACAGCAAGCAGCGATGGTTGGCTCATAGAAAGACACTCCCATACTGTCGTGCGACGGCCTCCGACATCAATTGAAATGAAGAAAGATGAATCGTCGGCGTGTCGGCGATGTTAGATGCTGTTGAAGGACCTGAATAATATAGGTCTGAAACCTGTGACATCGGATTGTCCGGGGTTGATGAAGGTTAGTCCGGGGAAGTAAATGGGGCAGTCCCAGGCAGTCGGCGGAAGAGCGGTTTATTGAGTGAAGAACGACGGCAGAGGGCCCAGAGGGTATCAAAAGCGGCAAGTGGTTCGGCCGTAGCGGGAATAATCTTACAAATGGACAACTGCCATTGGCTGTCAAGCGCCCATGAATCACAAGCATAAATTGGCAACTATCGGAACGCGAATTGCCGAGCTCACGCTTTTCTTCAAACTTGCTTGTCGTCGCACACAGCTGCTCGTCGGTCTTCTCGACGATGCCTATCCTCTCTTCCTCAACGCGCGACGCCATGCGCTCGCTGCAGCGGCTGGCCGCGGGAATGGCCACCGCTGCCTCAAGAATCGGTGACACCAAAGTTCCAATGTCGCTCCTCGAGAAGGGTGCCTACATAAACTACCAGCGTATTGAGGATAGCCTCGCCGTCGTCCGTGACAGGTGATAGCAACCATTTACTTGAATCATAGTCTGGCTTCTAATGGCACTATCTCGTCCGCAGGCTTCAACGCCCGCTTACTCTCTCGGAAAAGATAGTGTACGGACATTTGGATGATCCTCACAACCAGGACATTGTCCGAGGCACCAGTTACCTCAAGCTCCGCCCTGACGTATGTTTGACGTTTCTCCTGTGCTCCGAGTAACCGCTCAATAATCTTATCCTTATCAACAGCGGGTAGCTTGTCAGGATGCTACTGCCCAGGTCTGCCATCACGTCACTACTATGTCTCTTCGCTGACGTAATCATAGATGGCTCTGTTACAATTCATGTCTGCAGGCATGGACACAGCAGCTGTCCCAACTACAGTTCACTGTGACCACTTAATTGAAGCTCAAGTTGGCGGTGTTAAGGATTTGGCGCGTGCAGTTGATCTCAATAAGGAGGTGTACGATTTCTTGGCTACCGCAACAGCAAAAGTTAGTTCCTGTCACTTCCGGTCTTTGTATTTGCTCATTGGTTCGTAGTATGGTCTTGGGTTTTGGAAGCCAGGATCTGGTATCATTCACCAGATCATTTTGGAAAACTACGCATTCCCAGGTGGACTTATGATCGGTACTGACTCTCACACGCCTAATGCCGGTGGTCTGGGTATGGTTGCTTGTGGTGTTGGAGGCGCTGATGCTGTCGACGTCATGGCGGATATTCCTTGGGAATTGAAGTGCCCCAATGTTATCGGTGTCAAGCTTACTGGCAAGATTGGAGGTTGGACTACGCCCAAGGGTGCGCGCATTCTCGAATTCATTGTTTCCTCATGTTAACCCCGCGTAGATGTCATTCTGAAGGTTGCTGGTATCCTCACTGTCAAGGGTGGAACTGGTGCCATCGTCGAATATCACGGTCCTGGTGTCGAGTCGTTGTCTTGCACGGGTATGGCTACTATCTGTAACATGGGTGCCGAAATCGGTGCAACTACCTCGCTCTTCCCCTTTAACCGTCGTATGGTCGACTACCTCAACGCTACCAAGCGTGCCGAGATTGCTCAATATGCACAGCGTTTTGCACACAACCTCAAGGCTGACGAGGGCTGCAATTACGACCAGAATATCGAGATTGTTTGTAATGTCGTTAATGTCCTTGTCATTTGTACTGATATTTTGCGCCTAGAACCTCTCGGAACTCGAGCCTCACATTAACGGTCCCTTCACTCCTGATCTTGCTACCCCGCTCTCGAAGTTTGCAGAGGAGGTCAAGAAGAACAACTGGCCCCAAGAACTCAAGGTTGCTCTCATCGGTTCCTGCACAAACTCTTCGTATGAGGACATGTCACGCTCCGCTTCCATTGCCCGTGAAGCTGCCGAGCATGGTCTCGATGTCAAGAGCAAGTTCACGATCACTCCTGGTTCTGAGCAAGTCCGTGCTACTATTGAACGTGACGGTCAAATCGGTGCTTTCGAAAATGTTGGTGGTCTCGTTCTGGCTAATGCATGCGGTCCTTGCATCGGTCAATGGGACAGGAAAGACGTCAAGAAGGGCGAGGTCAACTCAAGTGCGTTGTCTGTGCCATTGTATTGCATTGCCCAACCAGTGATTTTTAGTTATCACGTCCTACAACCGTAACTTCACCGGCCGTAATGATGCTAACCCCGCCACCCACGCTTTCGTCGCCTCCCCGGACATTGTAACTGCAATGGCCTTCGCTGGTGACCTCACCTTCAACCCGGTTTCGGACACCCTCATTGGTTCGGATGGCAAGCCCTTCAAGTTCTCGGACCCCACTGGCAATGAGCTTCCTCCTCGTGGCTATGACCCCGGACAAAACACATTCCAGCCTCCTCCTGTAGATCGCGCTAGCGTTGCAGTTGCAGTTGACCCCAAGAGCGACCGTCTTCAACTCCTCCAGCCTTTCACGCCTTGGGATGGCAAGACCCCGACTGATCTCCCTGTTCTGATCAAGGTGAAGGGCAAGTGCAGTAAGTGAAGCTCGTTGTTGAGTCCTGGGACTGTGCCTTATTGGTATATCTAGCGACTGATCACATCTCTGCTGGTGGTCCCTGGCTTAAGTACCGTGGTCACCTCGAAAACATTTCGCGTAAGTTGCCTTGCCCAATAATTCTCTAGACTTTCTTCTCACCCTTGGATAGAAAACTGCTTGATTGGTGCTATCAACGCTGAGAATGGCGAGGCAAACAAGGTCAAAAACCAGATCACCGGCGAATACGGTGCTGTTCCCCAGACTGCTGCTTACTACCGCGACCATGGCATCAAGTGGGTCGTCATCGGTGACTCCAACTATGGTGAAGGTTCATCTCGTGAGCATGCTGCTCTTGAGCCCCGCTACCTTGGTGGCCTTGCTATCATTACCCGGTCTTTCGCTCGTATCCACGAGACGAACTTGAAGAAGCAGGGCATGCTTGGTCTCACTTTCGCTAACCCTGAGGACTACGACAAGATTCAGCCCAGCGACAAGGTTGATATCTTGGGCTTGGACACCTTCGCCCCTGGAAAGAACTTGACTCTCGTTGCCAAGCATGCGGATGGTAGCAAGGATGTGAGTTTCTGGATCGTGTGATGGCTTTTTGTGGTGCTGACGTGATGATCTTGCAGGAAATTCCTCTCGCTCACTCCTTCAATGAGGGTCAGATTGAATGGTTCAAAGCAGGTTCTGCTCTTAACCTGGTGCGTTTAATTTGTATGCCACAGGCTCACCCTTTGACCTTGTCGACACAGATGGCCGCTAAGGCCAAGCAATAAACGGTGACATAGACGGAAGGAGCATGTGCCATGTCCAGACACTGTAGACTTCACGTTCAGTTACTACTTCTTTCGCCTGTCAATGCTTATTTCATATCACGGTCTCGACAACTTGTTTATACATCTTTGTAATAACACTGGACGACAAATCCTAAAACATTCCATGCCTTGGTTGGAGGATCACAGCATCGGGCTACTTGTCCAACGGTTCGTGCATCGTCATCTTCCGTCTCCTCTCCAGCAGCGCTTTCCTTGCCATGCTCTCTCTCCCGGATAGATGACCAGACTGAGGAGGACGTAACAAGTCTGATCCAAAGGATATCATCGAAGACGCGGACGATGATTCACGCTGAATTGGTTTAGGCCTTGAACGTCTCCGCTGCCCACCCCTCTTCCGCGACGACACTTTGGATTGTCCAGACTGCATCGTGTTCGTGCGCGATTTCGGGATCTCGTTGGAAGAAAGTGCCAGATGTGACTGCGTAAACCCATAACCATAGTTTTTCAGATTCGCTGAGGCGGCCGCTACGGACTCGGAGGTGTAAACGCTGCTGGAGCTGGCGTGTGAGGCACGACTATTGTCCTTTGCTATGCCAATGGGAGCTGCGTTGTGTTTTAGCGGTAAATGGGATTCCTGCGTCCACACGGGTGCCATGCCTGGTCGAAGGGTTACCTGGCTATCGCTGAATGCCAGATTCGACTGCGATACGTCGGAGGAGGCAACCCGGTCCCGAGGATGGCCGCCCAGTCCACGAATGCGCAATCCGTTTACGTCGCTATTGTTCAGATGGGGCTCTGTAGAGTATGACGGCGGCTTATGAGCAGCGAGAGGTACGTCGTATTCGGGATCTGGAAATTGTTGTGGCCAATGGTGTTTTGCAGAGCCCAGCGGAGCGTCACTTTCTTCGTACGTGGATGGGCGCGGCGTGCGGTTGCCGGCAACAGTGCCGAATGCGGTCATGAAGTTGGACTTGAGGGCGGAGGCCCAGCCCTCCGGGGGTGGGTGTTCGTTTACTATTGAGTTGTGAGGTTCGGCCTCGTCAGGGAGAGGTATGTTGTGCCAGTCTCCAGGGCCGATGCCTGGGGTGTTTTCCATCACTGGTTGTAACCTCCCTCTAGGCGTGCGCTGGGCATAGCCTGGCGAGGGGAGGAATTGCGGTAGACCATCTGCTTCCAGCGGCAGGAAACTTTGCGTGGGACGCTGGACGGCGCTCCTCGGTGGACCTAACTCGGCTACCCTTGTGCTGTACAACGCTGGGCCGCCGTGGCTTGATTCGTCGCCAGACGTCAGATCGCCAGGGGCTATATTTGCTACCTGCAGCCGACCAAGCGTGCGCGGGCTTTCTTGTACGCTGAACGCACTTGCGGAATTCCTGAGTGTGGGTCGTCGCTGCTCCATGGGCGGGTAGACGCTGCCAACCACCGTTCTTGAGGGATTGTACCCTGGTGCCCGATCAATGGTTTTGTCAAAATTCGCAGTCGTCGGTGTGTTTATAGGGCTGGAAAAGGGATCGCCAGTGTTTCTCCGGACGAGAGATGCAGGAAGGTAAAACTCAGATTCCTCGTGCGGGGTGTGCACCAGCAGACTGGGCTCGGGGCCGTCCTCGAGCACATCTCTCGCTGTCCAAAGTTCGTCATCGTCTCGTGGCTTCCGCGCTGATGCGCGCGAACGCAGCCACCATGCCAAAAATGCCAGGCAACAAGCGAGGACACAAACGGTGCCCAGGATGATCGCAACGTAAAACGGGGCGGAGAGCTCGGGTTTCGACGTATGCATGGAAGCAGGAGAGACGAATGCTGTCGGATGAGAGGATGAGCTAGTGCTACTTGAGGTGCTGGATGGAGTAGTGGTGGGTGATGAAAACGAGCTTAGCGTCGTGCTGCTGAGCAATGAGGAAATTGTGCCAGTTGCCGTAGCTGAGGTCATTGCCAAAGCAGGGACAGTAGTCACCAACGCCTGAGACTGTGTCAACTGGCCTCCTGTCTGCATTCCGGTTGCACTGAGAGGGTCAGGACTGATCTGCGTGACCTGTTGTGGCACAGATTGGGCCGGCCTGCGGTTGCCTTCGGGGTTGTATGAGATGTCTCCAGGTCCTGCTGGAGGGCCCAAGTTTACGATTGACGCTTGCCCGTTTTTTCCTAGAACCAAGTTAGAATCCGCTCTGCGATTACGATCATGGGGTGCAAAGAACGGTATGGGTGAAGTCAAAGATATGGGCATGGTAAAGTTGGGTGTATATGCGCGCCTGGCGCTGAGCTACCAGAGCCCTGACTTGTCAGAATCAAGGGTACCGTCTTGTTTCTTAAATCATGGAACGCGATTTGGCTTGAAAATCTTAATCCAAACGGGCAGTCTCAGACTCTGACACATGATGTGGATCACGCATTCAATTTGGTGACCCACCCTGGTCGATTCACAGTGTCGGACAATGGAAGTTCTTCTCATTTCTACTGTATTCGTATGAACACAATCGAAGTTCATCATGGCGCAGGTGAACCATCACTGCGGTGTTCGACCTTCGAGCTCCAATATACGAGGCTAATAAACGAGGCGTGACCGCATTAACGTGGGTTCAACTGCCAAGAAGAACCGTGCTCTTTCCTGACTTCTGGTTCTTTCTCCAGCCTATCCTCGTACATATAATACGAAACCCGGCACAGTTGTGCACCTGTGGTTCTGGCCCAGTTCCGAACCCGCCTGGTATGTGTTTCGCGTACTCTCCTTCAAATACAAGCTCTCTGTCGGATCTTCCGCCATCAGCCCCGTCTCTGGAGTGTCCCAATTGTCCTATGTCCTTGACCGCGACGCATTCATCCGGGAGATGCCACCTGCCGTTACATTCCGCGGATTATTTGCAGCGCTCCGTCGATGTCCCCGCTTGCATATGCTAACCATATTAATGGATACCGTGAACATAGATGTCGACCCTAAAGCCGAGTCATTTCAACATACCACCCTACAAAAATTGGACGTGACTTGTTCTGAGATAGCGGATGCTGAAGCCGTCGCTCGCATCATCTTCTCCACGCTCCCTGGCGTCGATCGAGTTGTCCAGCGACACAATGGTGATGCCGGGATACACTTCCGTAAGCTGTGGGATGAAGTCAACGGACATCTCAATGTTTTGATGGGTCCGATTTCACGGAGCAGGCATATTGGGTGGCTGATGGACGAGTCCGAGGGGGAGACGGGTGAGTCTGAGGGGGAGACGGACTGACGTTTGTGAGATTTTCTGGAGTCATACGAGTCTATCATGTGCCCAAAACGCGCCATGTTTCAAAGGTGCGCTCAAGTACATGGCAATTAATGTACTCGTAAGTAGTCCTGGCAGAAGTACTCAGACAATATCCGCCGGCGCGCAAAACCATGCACAAAAGAAGAAAAATCAAGCCCTACGTCTTCTCGTCTTCCCATGGCTCATCCGGTAATAAACCCACAACTGGAATATCTACCCGAAGACCAGACATTTCTTCTCTACTGATGCTATATGATTGAATTAGCTGAACAAACCGGTCCAATGAACCACGGTCTGCACGTTCCAGGAAGGTCGACTGCCTATCATACTCCTGAATCCGAGCATGCACTGCTCTGCTCGTCGGCGACTCGTGGTAGGACTTGATCGCGAGCTTGATAGTCCTACGATTCAATTCCTGGTTTTCCGACACAAGATATAACGCCTGCAACACAAGAGTCAAGTCGATGATGTACTTCATGAAGCGCTGGAGCGCCACGCAGCTGAGGAGGATCTGTCATTATTCTCTCAATCAAGGATAAGTAGCGTTGATACGCCTCGTAAACCCAGTTCTCCATCACAATGCTTGCCACTATCGGGACTCACTGATGATCTGGATCAGCCGTAGCAGGAGGACATTTGTAGTGTTTGATGGGTTAGGCTGCGTTCCGACGATGAATGTAGAATTGACGGCTGAGAATAGACCAGCCTGATTCACGTATTAGGTTTGCACTAACAGGCTAACAGGCAGAGAAACTCGACGTTGAACCACTGGAGGAGGCATTAAAGTCGACCGTTTGATCATTGAACTTTTTAGAGATAAATGGTCATATTCATGCATCATTTGACAGATGAGAGGACATCTTACTCACGTTGGTATATCCACATCAGAACGACTAGCCAGTCCGAGTCCTTCAAGGAATCTTTCCAGAGGGCATCCACGAACTCTCTCGATGTCGGCCGGCTGCGGAAGTTCGATCTAGGCTCACTTCAACCCCGAGTGACAAATCTTTCCATTTCCCTTGTATTTCTGTACCCTAGTTTAGCTTGTGTATCATGTCTCGTAAAATCAACAAATACGTAGAATGCTGAAGTATGTGTGTCAATTACACTAATTATGAGGGAAAAATCCGTCAAAGGGACCCGCCCGCTGGCCAGGACCAATATTAGAAGGCTCCCGGCGAGTGTCTGGTTGTCCAAGAACGTTTCCGACGTCGGAAACCATGTCCTTGACTACATAGTTTATGACTGGTTTTCCGGTGACCTCCTTCCGACATCCCGGACAGGTATACACTGGCTGCTGTTGTCGGGAAGTATTATACATGTCTTGCAGTTGCGTCTGAATTGGACGCGAGACATATGGACCAAGGGTCTGGAGAAGTTGGGGGAAATTGCGAGGCATGTGGTCACGGTCCATATTGTATGCGGGATGTTCGCGGATATGTTTGGTGAGCGTTTCGTCGAACCAGCCCTTGAGGCATCCCTCGCAATAACAATGACCGCAGTCAATAAGTTTAGGACAGATGGTTAAGTAGACAGAAAGCAACAGAAGATGAGAACTTACATGTACGGAGAATACATCAAATGTGCGCATATGTGACAAGACAGCACCTCTTCCAACTTGGTAGCCTCCTATATAAACGACTGAGAGAACGTTAGGAAAGATGGACATGAACACGTACTTTTGCTTGCAAAGTATCAAGCTTCTCCTGCTGCAATTCGATCTCCTTGCGTCCATCATCGATCTCTTGTAATCGTGCGGCAAGTTCTTCACTTTGATCCTTGAGAAGCTTCCTTGAAGCGTCAAGTTGTGTGCGCTGGTCGGCGAGTTGCTGCTCTAGCTTCTCGTTTGTCTAACCCCCCTCCCTGTCATTGGCGAAATTGGAATTATGATAATCGCAGAGACGTACGTGTTTCAATTTCGAATTCTCCCGCTGCCAAGACGAGCTTTCGGATCCATTTCCCGGAGCTTTGGGAAGTATTGATCCTTCATCCGACGAAGACGATATCTCCAAGACCTCGCCTGTCAACGGCTTCTTTGAGAGATTCCTTTTAGATCTTGGTGATGAGCCAATTATGTTCGGTCGAAAGGTGACTTGGGCTTTTCCAGCGTAACTAACGTTGCAGCGCGTCACTATCTAAATGCCAAGCAAAGTCAAATTTTGAAATACCCTTGAAGAAAGCTTGACGATGATAGGTATGGTTCATTTTCGCGTGAACAAGTGGTGACTTGGGCTGTTCCAGCGTAACTAACGTTGCAGCGCGTCACTATCTAAATGCAAAGCAAAGTCAAATTTTGAAAATACCTCTGAAGAAAGCTTGACATTGTCTCCGATCGGCTGGGTAGGGCTCGTGGAGATGATGGGTATGGTTCATTTTCGCGTGGACGAGTGCGCTGTTGGCTGGACGAGCGTGTAGCAGGCATCTTGACGCGACTATTAGAATGGAGGAGTTGTTCAAGTTACGAGTTAAGCAGCGAAGTGGACTTAGCCTAAAGTAGTCATCACTTTAAGTGCCACGTGACTTTAAGCAGCGAAGTGGACTTAGCCTAAAGTAGGCTCACAAAGGGTCTGATTCTGCAAGCCGCCACAAATAACGATAACCCACCAGTAAATGACAGACTCTTCAGCTGACTCATCTCATAAATATATGATGCCCATCTCGCGCCCATCCCTATGAAGACGAAATGAACATCAGCATTCGCATGATATAGGGCTTCATCATGATGGCCGAACACGTACCCGCACTTGCTGCTGTGCCGTCGTACAGGTTCATTGAGGCTCAATGATCTCGATGATAGATTTGATCATTGCCTTATCGATGAGCTCAACCAGGCATCCCTGTCACAATGATGCAAGAATCTGGAGTAATATATTTCTTGATGCGAACTTCAACGTCCACTTTGGCTTTGGCGCGGATAGCAAGTTGGAGCACAGCCATACATTCTAGTGCGACGCTAAAACCCAGGACGAAACTACATTGTTCCGTCATATTTTCCACCCAATTCGCGATTCTCGGTTGGGAGCACCATCCGAAGTCACCAGAGAAACTACAACAATTCCATCAATAGTCGATTATCAGTGACCAGGTTGGAAGCACATCGATAAGACACACATAGGTTGATTGCAACTAGTTCTAGGACACCAGCATGGGATATGACACCAGTCGCAAGATTCCAGGCTGCTACCAATAGGTCGTATGCCTGAATCGTCCAGATGTGCTCCACTGAAGTAGCATGTAGCGCGAGACGAGGACGAGAGAGAAATGCTCTGCCGGGGGAACGAGGCTTCACTAGAGATGGAGAAAGTCTTTGAAGAGCCAATTTGACTGGGAGTGAATTAAAGCCTGGTTCGAACATATCCGAGGGTAATGCGTGTTACAAGACGACGACTTTTACAAGTAATCGAAAGGTGTACTGATTACTAGCCAGAATATGCGACCCAAGTGTCAGCAACAAAGATTACCTGCGGGGGTTGAGGGCAACAGCATTGACGACGCGTTCGCCTGCGCCTAAGGTGCGTGCCGTGTAAAAAATACCCACAATGGGAACGACGGCAGTTAATCCATGAAGGATGGCGAATAGCGGTGCTCTCGTACTCCCAGAAATCGAGGTGAGAGCATGGCTGTAGGGTGCAAATCGTCCTCCAGGAAGAAGAAAAGTCTGAAAATGGATTTTGCCGGGCAGCTGTTGAAAACGTTCTGTCGATTAGGTAATCATTCAATCATTGGGGAGTCGGGACGATCACTGGGAGCTCAACTTGCAGTTGTCTTTCATAGTGCACAGGAGTGGTATCATTCTTCAACCAAAGGCCTGCCATCCAAGTCTTGAGAACCGTACATACCGGTTTGCCTCGCACCAAGGAAATCAAGATGATCATCTTCGGTAGCTAACCTTTTGACAATAGCTACTTCGTTGACTAATAATGCAGTTGGTGTCGAAGTTTTGTGCCATGAATCAATCAGGTCTTCCTACTCCACCACCTACATCCGCCACGTCAAGCACAAACCCTGCACAGTCATCATCGAACGCGCCTAGTCAATCTGCCAGTCATGTCTCGGTAGGCTCCATTGTCACAACCATAACTTCGACATCAAGTCCTTCCCACTTAAACCAATATCTGAGGAGTTGCGCATCCAAAGATGTCAGAGAAGTCCTGTTGTCCAGCATTTTGCCAGGTAGCCAAGATCCTTTGACTCTGTTAAACGCGCGAGATCACACAATCGGCATGCTTTACATTCTGTGAGCGAGTCTTATTGGACATTTGCATTACGCACACCGATCTTCTGAAGGTCTGCGCGACTGCACACCGTCTCGTCTGATAAGCCTCTGTGGCATCATATCGAGGTTTTTTGCCGCGATTTTGTCCCTGAACATGCACGCTTTGCTCCGGATCGAGGTTAGCACATCTTGGTGCACTCTGCAATGGGGTCACATACGTCCAGTGACACTTCTTGCAACTGGAATACGACAATTTGCTGAAGTTGAAGGCAATGTGAGATATATTCTTGAACCATGTCTCCACTCGATCTCAAATTTCTTAGCTCAAACTTGCTATCGTGCCATTATCCGATTTGCTTGCAAAATATCCTCCGACCCTTTCACACCTCACCACCATCCACCCTATCTTCCTAACGGTGAGATTCTCAATGGTGATGTCTTTCCAGCTTTCTGACTTGCCAAAGACTTGCGTCGCCACTCGCCATTTCACAGCCGCAATCCCCGTCCTGAGTCATTCAATCAGTACAATTGATCTCTCACTTTCTGGCTTGACCTACCACGACAATCTAATATACCACTACGCCGGCGGCATCGCATTTGCTGCGCTAAAGAACTGGCCAGCTGCTGAAGAACTCTTCGAGATCTGCGTATCATGTCCAGGCTCAGCAGCGTCCGCTATTCAAATGGAAGCCCTGAAGAAGTTGGCCCTCGTACAGCTGATATACCGCGGAAAGGTACGAGTATCCTTCATGGGTGAACGATTCGCTCACTATCAGTCAGACATCACCTCCATCCAAGTACATGCACCCGATTCTTATGCGACTTTTCAAAGCAACGCCTTACTCAAGTTTCATGAATGCATATCCTCTACAACGCGACTACCTTCGCACGATAGTTGAAAACGAGCATCAACTATTCGCCAATGTACGACATCGAAAACGCATAAATCCGTGTATCGCTAACCACCCGTATAGGAAAGAACACTTGGTCTCATCACCCAGGCACTCGACCGCGCCCCCCGTTGGGCCATCAAGAAACTCACAACCACGTATCTGACACTACATTTATCCGATATCGGACGAGAAGTGGGAATTTCGGACGAGAATGAAGTGAAATCCTTAATTTTGAGCATGGTGGAACTTGTTTTCTTGGCGGGTTGTACGGATTACTGATGCTCTTTCTGGTAGATTGAGTGCTCGGTTACATCGGGCTATTCACCCAACGGTTCGTGCATCGTCATCTTCCGTCTTCTCGTCTCGCACATCCATACAGAATCGTTGAGTGACCACCAGTGGATCACGCATTCAATTTGGTGACCCACCCTGGGTGATTTACAGTGTTGGACAATGTGAAGTTCTCTCATTTCTACCGTATTCGTATAAACACAATCGAAGTTCATCATGACGCAGGTGAACCATCACTGCGGTGTTCGACCTTCGAGCATCAATATACGAGGCTAATAAACGAGGCGTGACCGCATTAACGTGGGTTCAACTGCCAAGAAGAACCGTGCTCTTTCCTGACTTCTGGTTGTTTCTCCAGCCTATCCTCGTACATATAATACAAAACCCGGCACAATTGTGCACCTGTGGTCCTGGCCCAGTTCCGAACCCGCCTGGTATGGCACTCGCGTACTCTCCTTCAAACACAAGCTCTCCGTCGGATCTTCCGCCATCAGCCCCGTCTCTGGAGTGTCCCAATAGTCCTATGTTCTTACCCGCGACGCATTCATCCATTATTTGCAGCGCTCCGTCGATGTCCCCACTTGCATATATTGAGCATATTAATGGATGCCGTGAATATAGATGTTGATCCTAAAGCTGAGTCATTTCAACATACCACCCTTCAAAAAATGAACGTGACTTGTTCTGAGATAGCGGATGCTGAAGCCGTCGCTCGCATCATATTCTCCACGCTCCCTGGCGTCGATCGAGTTATCCAGCGACACAATGGTGATGCCGGGATGCGCTTCCGGAAGCTGTGGGATGAGGTCAACGGACATTTCAATGTTTTGATGGGTCCGATTTCACGGAGCAGGCATATTGGGTGGCTGATGAACGAGTCCGAGGAGGAGACGGGTGAGTCTGAGAGGGAGACGGACTGACGTTTGTGAGATTTTCTGGAGCTATACGAGTCTATCATGTGCACAAAACGTGTCATGTTTCAACGATGCGCTCAAGTACATGGCAATTAATGTACTCGTAAGTAGTCCTGGCAGAAGTACTCGGACAATGTCCGCCGGCGCGCAAACCCATCACAAAAGAAGAAAAATCAAGCCCTACGTCTTCTCGTCTTCCCATGGCTCATCCGGTAATGAACCCACAACCGGAATATCTACTCGAAGACCAGACATTTCTTCTCTACTGATGCTATATGATTGGATTAGCTGAACGAATCGATCCAATGAACCACGGTCTGCGCGTTCCAGGAAGGTCGACTGCCTATCATACTCCTGAATCCGAGCATGCACTGCTCTGCTCGTAGGCGACTCGTGGTAGGACTTGATCGCGAGCTTGATAGTCCTACGAGTCAATTCCTGGTTTTCCGACACAAGATATAACGTCTGCAACACAAGAGTCAAGTCGATGATGTACTTCATAAAGCGCTGGAGCGCCGCGCAGCTGAGGAGGATCTGTCATTATTCTCTCAATCAAGGATAAGTAGCAGGACGCACGACCGTTGATACGCCTCGTAAACCCAGTTCGCGATCACAATGCTTGCCACTATCGGCACCACGATGGGAGCCGCAGGTCCGGCCAGGGCAGACAAGATGCCGGAAATAGTACCCACAATGGAGAGCCCGAATGCACTGCGAACATTAAATGAGATGAAATGCATCCGTCATGTAAAAGACTGCCCTACATGTTCCTGGTTGGATCAGCAGTGGGTCCAACGTCTAGCTCATTGACCATGTTCGCCATCAACGTCCTGAATTCTGGGCTATACAAGTACTGCGAGTGAGCCACGTCAGAACATGCGACAACGGCAGAGAAGAGAATTATTACACCGCGAGGGTCATTGAAGTTCCACACAGCAACAATGTCGGTATGAAGCACACGCAGACAGTCCCACATCGAATGGTCTTTGAATATTGTGCTTGATGCGAGCGCCTTCCAGTATTCTGTAAAACGGATGTGAAGGCTCAGATCGCATCCAGTAATTACCATGACGGAATTGAGACAAACTTTTCTTTCCAACCCTGACACTGCATAAGTCACGAGACAACAATGAAGCAAGCAAGGCTCACTCAATCGACGCCTGGATGTTGAGTCCAGGATCCACTCGCTGAGCCATGGAGGTCATCACCGATGCCTCGGTTGCAACATGCTGACGAACGCAGTTTTCTGTCATCCGAATCAGACACGCAAGTGTTTCTTTATGGCAGTCTTCAGCTATGTTCGTACATTTTAGAGGCAGATACGAAACTATCAAAGTGTTGGTACCCACTAGAGATGGTAGCGTGCGGTATATCAGGACCTGCGAATTTCTTCAGGGGTCCGATGCAGACATCTTGTAGCTCAGCATCTGCTGTGGTCTTGATGAGTTTGTTGACATCATCTTCGCTTAATCGTCCGATAGAGGAGTGATGTAGAGTACGATCCACGCGGTCGAGGAGCATATCGTACTTAGTGAGAACGACGACAATGGGGACTTTGACCAAACTGTGAGTTGAATCTGCGAGGTGATTCTGATCGGTCAACGTACTTTTTCCCAGTTTGCCATCACGCTTCAATGTGAGAAATGCTTCTGTGCCGGTCTCCAGTAAACGCCCGCCTGCACGGGGTATTTCAAAGCAAAGCCTTGTGTGTCATCAGCTTGCCATATAAGCTCACGAAGGTGGAGATCCCACCAAACGGCGTGCAGCTGATTTTTCAAATCAGGCATTTTCCCCCGACGGTCAATGAAATCCTGGACTGTTTTGAAGTTGTCCTCTCCCCCTGGTTCAAACCCTTTGCTATCGTGGAGAACAAATCTATTGTTCTGTGGTGAGATGAACTCGTTGTCTATGGTGGCCTCGCCTGGCTTATTGTGTGAAGCGGTCTATCAGCAGTATGAGTAGCTGCACGTGTTTCAGTGTCGTGAGCAGCTCACCGCATTTTCCACTCCGAATGCGTGGTTGATCAGTGAAGTCTTTCCGACGCCGGTCTATTGGAAGCATGTTGTCAGCACAGGCGCGAGATCAACGAAAATTTGTTACATTTCCTATCACCAAAATTCGGAACCTTGAGATTTTGCTGTGTCAGTCTGATTAATGGCGCTTCATGATTATCTTTACTCACCGAGGACAAATTCGGATGATCTCGTCGGTTGTAGGCTGAAGCTCCTGGCTTCCGCCAGAAGAAGAACCAGCCTGCTAGTCTGTGGCTTAGACAAGTTTGGAAGTAAGAGGTGGGTCCTTACTAGTACTTCGGTTGCCGTATTCCTAGAAAGCTCAACGATGACCGTGAAATTCTTGTGAACCTTCGTGTATTCTGTTCGAGCCAGTCAGGACTCAGAAATCAAGGTGAGAACGTAGCATTCATGCTTACCTCGTGTCTCAAGTTCTCCACTTGCACCAAACACGCGGAAGATATCTTCGGTATCGAACTGAATGCCAACAGTCTTCATTCGAAACCATGTGCTGTGCCGTACATGGAGGGAAAACGAATCCTCAATAGAAAGCTTCCTATGATAAAAACAGTTCGGACGAGTACATTCGTCTGAGTCGAGCGCTTACATGGGTGGATAAAATATGAGCTGCAAAGTCTTTCCTGTTGCACGTTCAACTGGTGCGTGCGACTTGCCGATTCGTACTTGAGCCGACTCTACATTCTTTGCTGACTTGCTGAAATCGACAGATAAACCTATTAGATATATTCAGTGAAAATGACCGTTAAGCTGATGGGCGTGGAATTGCATACCAGAGATGTGCAGAGGATAGGGAACCGTTGAGGCGTGAAGAGAGCTGGCCATGCTGATGGTTATTTACTAGGTAGTAAGACAGACTCTCCTTGGTGGGGGAAGGTGATGGTAGATAGATGTGAAGCATGTGGTCAGTCACGCTGGGGGTAAACTCTAGTCTCACCTACTTAGGAAGACCGAATAGGAGGACGATTGGACTTGGTTCCTTCCGGTCCCTCGTTGATGCACGATGCATGATGCATGATGCCTCAAGGCCACCTGCTCATGGTGCACCTGGCTGTTGATGGCCAGCGCCAATGGGCCAGTCGAAGTTAATATTATGTACAAGTTTGGTGGTCGAGCAAGCTGGCTTCCATACCAGTGATCAAATTTAAACGTTGTATGTACTATAAATTAATTAATGGAAGCCCGTGCCGTCGTCGAGGTGAGGTGTACGCCTCATGGTACGCCCAACCTTGAGTATGCTCATTGAAATATTGCCCACTGATGGCAGAGTTCACACATTCAAGTTGTTTGGTGGCCGCAGGGTTGAGCAAGTCCTTAGTCCATACGAATGCGGGATCAAGCGTCTTACAAGTTACTATATTATGCATGCATGTACACATGCCGCTTTGACTCGGAAACGGAAACATCCGAAATGACACTTCGAGGCGAGTCGTGTATGCCCCAGCATGCTACGTACATTCCTTGAGCATGCCCATCGCCCACTGAATCTAGGGCGCTCACAGAGTCGCAGAATTCACACACTGGTTATAAGCCTGCGCTCGAGTGTCCCAGGTGCAAGTTGTTACTATTTACAGATAAAGGCAATCAAATGGAAGTCCATCTAAAAGCCGTAATTGAGACTTCGACGCGATTCATGTACGCCTCATGGTACCGGTGTGGCCATTGCCCACTGGATTAGGGCGCTCGCCACACTAGTACTAGTGGTTATAAACCTACTCGCAGTGCTGAACAATTCTCATTGCTCAGTCCCAGTTTCATCTACCTTCATCCATGGATCCTTCAAAGATAAAAGAGAAAATCGTTCGCTTTCGAATCCTTATCATAGGAAGAGCGAACGCAGGAAAAACGACCATCCTAAAGAGGGTTTGTAACACCAGAGAGAACCCAGAGATATTTAATAGTGCTGGGGAAAAGGTGCGCATCGTGATGCTAGTACAATACTGATAGTGATGACTGTCCAAGATCGACGTCGATGTTTTGAAGGAATCCAGAGGGGTAACGTCTACTATCGTCAGTTAGCAACATGAACTAACGTGTTCTCAGCGTGGCGAGCACGACATCAATAACGAAATGGTGTTTCGAAAAAACCCAGGCTTCATTTTTCACGATTCGCGCGGTTTTGAGGCAGGCGGCGAATCCGAGTACGACAAGGTGAACACGTTTATCGCAGCCCGTTCGGAGGAAGGAGATATAAAGGATCGTATTCACACAATATGGTAATTAGTCGAATGGGCGATATGCACTGGCTCACTTCTTTGGCATAGGTACTGTATCCCAATGGATGAAGCAAGCAGGGCGTTCACCGAAGCTGAACTCAAATTTTTCTCCCGCTGCGACACTGGAAGCAGTAAGCTTTCGCATCTGTGCTTTGATCCACTGATTTACATACAATTTCCGTTCTCAGTCCCAGTGATCGTGATATTTACGAAATTCGATGCCCTTTACGACGTTGCATTCGCCCGACTAAGGAAGGAAGGAAAATCGAGGACAGACGCTAAGGCACTTGCTCCGAAGCGCGCCGAGGAGGCATTTGCGAATGGGTCGCAATTGAAGTTTCTATACCACTCCAAGGACATTCGACGGCCACCAAAATGTCACGTATGCCTCCCTGGTAAGCTGTGAATTGTCGAATTGCGAGACATGATGACCATTGATCCATCAGACATGGACAAGGATGATGCAGACTGTGGGCTACTCATCGAGCGCACGGCTGAAACTCTGGACAGTGAAGCGCTTCAGCAATTGTTCGTCTCAACTCAACAAACGAACTTGGAGCTCTGCGTGAGATATGCAGTAGAACGGTAAGTGCTCATTAGCTCATTTGACTGCTGCGAATGTTGTTGACTATTGTTCAGCGCACTTGAAAAATTTGTCGTCTCTGATGAGAAAATCTCATCTGAGGATGCAATAACGAGGTTGGGTAGATGGTTTCCACATATTTCGGTAAGATCACATGAATGTTTGAAAGTTGCTCTCATTCATGTTGGGCATTTACTTGCAGATAGTACGTCTGTTGATCCTTGTTCGAGCTCGAGCCATGCTGATCCAAGCCATTGCCCACTGTTCGCAGCGTGTGAGTGTCTTGATCCTCGTTCGAGCTCGAGCCATGCTGATCCAAGCCATTGCCCACTGTTCGCAGGTCGTGAGTGTCTTGATCCTCGTTCGAGCTCGAGCCATGCTGATCCAAGCCATTGCCCACTGTTCGCAGGGTGTGAGTGTCTTGATCCTCGTTCGAGCTCGAGCCATGCTGATCCAAGCCATTGCCCACTGTTCGCAGATCGTGAGTGTCTTGATCCTCGTTCGAGCTCGAGCCATGCTGATCCAAGCCATTGCCCACTGTTCGCAGCGTGTGAGTGTCTTGATCCTCGTTCGAGCTCGAGCCATGCTGATCCAAGCCATTGCCCACTGTTCGCAGTATGTGAGTGTCTTGATCCTCGTTCGAGCTCGAGCCATGCTGATCCAAGCCATTGCCCACTGTTCGCAGATCGTGAGTGTCTTGATCCTCGTTCGAGCTCGAGCCATGCTGATCCAAGCCATTGCCCACTGTTCGCAGCGTGTGAGTGTCTTGATCCTCGTTCGAGCTCGAGCCATGCTGATCCAAGCCATTGCCCACTGTTCGCAGTATGTGAGTGTCTTGATCCTCGTTCGAGCTCGAGCCATGCTGATCCAAGTCATTGCCCACTTTTCGCAGAATGTGACTCACGTGTGGTGATCTTTTGTCGAGTTCGAGGCTTGCTGACTGAAGAAATTGTTGATCCATCTGCAGAATGTCAGTATACTCGTCCTCCACAGACCTTGAGCCATACTCACCAAAAAATTGCTCATCCGTTGATAGCTTGTGAGTGTGTTCATCCTCTGTCGACCTACCATCTTGCTCATTCACGTGTTTTCAGGGTGTGAGTTCATTCTCCGTCGTCCTCGTGTCATGCTGACCGAAGATATTGCCGATCCGTTGACAGATTGTGAGTGGGTCGATTTGCTGTTTGGGTCTAGCCATGCACATCACTGACGTTACACATTCCTTCACAGATTGTGAGTGTTTGATCTTCGAGCCTTACTCGCTAATGGGATTCCTCATTTATTGACAGAAAGTCAGTGTGTCTATCCTCCGTCAAGGAGCTCGACTTATCACTGACATTGCGCATCCCCTAACAGCGAGTGAGTATTTGATCCCTGAACCTTGCTCACGAACGATATCACCGATCCATCAATAGGACGTATGTTTGTTCATCTTCCTTTGACCTTGGGCCATGCTGACCTAAGATATTATTTATTGACAGGATGTGAGTGTATTGATCCTCAGCAGAGGGAGACGATTATCAACTTTCCATCGTAATTTCACCAGTTTCACAGCGATCAACGTGCAGAGATGGGGTCTAGGTTACTCTCTGTGGTATGTCCAATTGGTCACAGACTACACACAATTCGCATGTTGAAAATTTGCCAGGCCTCCGGCTCATCGCCATTGGAGACAATTGTTCAGCTTAGCTCTGGTGAATTTTCAGGCGAAATTGCAATGAACCTGCTTATCATTAATCATTTAGCTGCCCTCATCATTTTTGAACACTCTTTCTACATCTTCGACAAGCGGCAGTACATTCAGGACCAGCAGCAGTCTGTTCCCAGTGTTCTTGACGCCCTCGAGCAGTACATGGCGTCTCCACATACTCCTGCTGTTAGGGAAGCTGTGAGCGCTGCCGTCCTCACATATGAAGAAGCTGAAAGCACTGCCGTCCTCAAATATGAAGAAGCAAAGCGCACTACCTTCCATGCATATGATGAAGCTGAGAGTGCTGCCTTCCACGCTTATGAAGAAGCTGAGAGCACTGCTGTCCACGCATACGAAGAAGCTGAGAGCGCTGCTGTTCACGCATATGAAGAAGCCGTGAGCGCTGCCGTCCATCAATATCAAGGAAACAGGTCTACTTGGATAGCAAAGTTACCGTTTGAGCGCTTCCGGAGGAAGGAGAGGAGGGGAAAAGAATCTTTTGAACGCTCTCAGGCCAAGATGAAAGAAGATTTCGAACGTTCTCAGGAGGAAGCGAAACAGGCCTTTGGGTGTTCTCGGGAGCAAGCGAAACAAGCTTTTGAAAGTTCTCAGGAGGAACTGAAACAAGCTTTTGAACGTTCCCAGGAGAGACTGAAGCAAGAGTTTGAACAACGTTCTCCGGAGAAAGTGAAACGTCTTGTTCGTCGTTTATTTCATTCTCAGTGGCGCTCATACAAACGTGTGTTTATTTGCTCTCAGGCGAAGGTGGAGTTACTCCGAAGAATTGTTCAAATCATTCTACAGTATCGCCTGTGTATGTTTCAACTCTAGGGATTGTAGCGGTTCCGCTGACCCCTTTGTAGCAAGACCTTAAGGCAATGCAACATAGCGTCAATGTTGTTTCGGTTCGAAGTGGAGTTGAGGGGTCTCGGCGGTGAATGCGGGTTTTCTTGAATGTGGTCTGTCGAGGTAGTTTCAGGAGGTGGAACTATATGAAATAGATGTATGATCGTGCAATCTGGCGTTTTTTCTAGTGTGGGGTGTACGTCTTCGAATGATGTCGGTCACCCTCAGCCGAGACGGTGGCGAGACCGATTGGGCTTGATTGTCAGCTGTACCTCCCAATTATCGGCGGTCTGATTGCAAGTGGATTAAGGTCTTGTATGTGTACCATTCTACTCCATAACTTTTCTCGATGCGTCTTTGGGAAAAGAAAGAAAATCTCGTTTATTATGATTTCAGGGTTAAACTCTATGCAGACACATGGGACGTGTATGACATTGTTAGTCGCTCTAGCTAGTGGATGCTGTATAAGATCCCTCGGAAGACTTGGCGGTCGGCAGATAATAGCCTTCGAACTGGATGGAGTTCAAGCAACGGATGCACTTTAAAAATTTCCAGCTTTCGTTTTTTGAGGGACAGTGTGCGGGTTACCAAGTCAAAGGTAGATACCACTCGCGTGTCAACCATCCTGTAAATGCTACGGTCAAAGTCCCATCGTTCGTGTTTCCACTAAATATGATTTTCAAATACTTTCATGGACCGCGTTGATCATCAACTTACTCTGGATGCATCATCTCGAACGACTGAGAGATGACGCCATCGATGAATAAACGAGGCGACGGATTGCAGAATACCTGCATAAACTTGCGACGCTGGGTGTCACCTATGCCACGATCTCTGGTGGATACCAGCATGATGACAGCTACATGCGTGCCTTACAAATGTACGAGTGAGGTTATGATCATGAATAAGCCTGAAAAACTTGCCTGTCCGATCCGTTCAACGACGAAGTCCTGTGTCTGGGAGCTTGCAGCGACCAATAACAATATTAATAATGTTCATCGCTGAGTGTCAGGATCCCGGCGTGCAGTGCAAGACATAGATATCGTCGATCCATTGCAGGGCGTGACCGTGTCGATTCTTCAACTCACTCAGGGAATTGCCGAGCTGCCGGTCAGCAGTGAGTGTGTTGGTTTGTAGTCGAGCTCGTGCTTTACTGAAAGAATAAATATCCCCTGTTTAAAGTTTTGAGAGGGAGGCGTTGATTGTAACGTCTTCATAATAAGAACGTGGAGGGGCGAGGATGAAAAACGTGCAAGCCGGGAAGACATAACTGTTGGCATCATCCGAAATAACACTCACCACATTTTTCTTTCTGGCTGTCCCACCCACCAGCGCATCATGATAAAACGGCGCGCGCAGCAGCTGAATCAGCAGGTAAGTATGCCCCTCCCAAAAAGTGGTAGCTTTCGTTCTTTGAGACCCACTCAGGTGCCTTGCGAGTTGAACATGGAAGCAGGGATCAAAAGGTACAAGCCATGGAGGGCGACGACGCGTCAGATGAAAACGAGAACTTGAACGAAGCCGCGTATCGTTGGGGTGAGGAATGACGGCCGGGTAATGGATATCGATGGTTGGTTCGGGTTTTTCAACGAATCTTGATGGTTAATCGAACTCGTTTGATTTGGACTCCAACTTGAATGTATGGTAGCGCGAAGTCAGGAGCTATTTGTGTCTATTTGCACCACTCCCTGATGGTATTTGTTGCTGTTGATAAATTCATCACATTGTCATTCACTCGCTTGCAACGACATGCAAAACCTTTCACGAGCCCACAGTCGATTTGCTTTGGGCTGAAAACATCCTCAAAATAAATACTTGTAAAGTTCTTTCTATCCGCTACGCCGAGTGCAACCTATGGTCGTTCATCTGAATTTCAAATATATCGCGACTTCATTTGTTGCTTTGCAGCAGATTCCCTGCCCTTGCTACAGTGTTCGTTCGTGTAAGCGGCTTGTTGCGTTGTGTTGCCCACCTCTCGACTGGGCAGCATGCAAGCACATATCAAACCTCCCTACCCTCCTCACAGTGGAAATTAGCGAGCCCGAGGCCTCTCGATCATTCGACCGGGACATCATCAATTTCGCACCTTTCTTCAACCTCATAGTTCTTTTTTTCTATGTAGACACGACTGCATACACCATCGCAGTTATTCAACACTAAGAACTCCCCTCGCTACAAGAGTTTGTGATGAATATCGGTGTTTTACCTTGGGCAGAGGCCCGTCAACTTTTCGTGTGTTGTCCAAAACCGAACCTCAAACACCTTGACATAATCTCACATAGCCGAACAGTTGGGGTGCAGCTCTTTGACAGCTATCACACAATTCTTTTGTTTCACGCAGCTCCGCACCCTGCAGCTCGACTTTCGTCATCGCTGCTTCAACCTTGATGATAACCTTCTTTTGGCAGCCATGTCAAGTTGGCCAGTGGACGAGGAGACGGTCCCTACCGTCACATATCGCGGACTGTTCGCAGCGCCCCCTCGATGTCCCTAGTGGGGGCGACGGCACTGCTAGGCTGTGTACCGAGGCGATATCAACTGATACATTGCACAATATCAAAAGTCAGTCCCGACTACTCGTACTTCTTCCCGTTCTTCGGCTCATTGAGCATCCAAATAGCACACCTGCGACTGGCCTCCTCTCCGGTGAACCATTATCTGAGCCCGAGGTCCATCATTTTGCGCATCACACCTCCCATGTGCGCTCATTGGTCATCTTTTCATGAGCATTTTCACCTTTACTCGGTCCTTCCCTTCGAGACATGCGTATTCCCAGGTCTGCTGTAGCCTGTCATTAACGTTTATGGTCGACCGTTCTCAAAATACATAGGTTTCTGTCACGGACTGATGTTTGTGGAGTTCAAATATGCTAATCAGCCTTGGTGCCATCACGGATATCAGAAAGATCTCTCGACGGCTACTCCTAGTACCCGAAACGGCACGACGACTCTAGCAGCTGGACCTGGTGAGCATTGGCAAAGTCATTCGTATACTAGCTGAATGTTGAGCAAAGCCGCCGATTTTGAGCTAGACCGAAGCAATGCTACTCATTGATGTGCAACACGGAAGCAGACACAAGACGACGTAGTGCATATATGTGGAGACAACAAAACTCTACCCAACGAACACTTCTGCAAGGTGGTGAGTCTAGCGACAGCCACACCTTTGTAGATTCTCATTTTTGACAGGCACTTCCAAACAATGTAATTCTCGAGTTTTACCTTCGGAACACATTGCCTGAGAGTGAGACGAGGAATCGGGAAAGGATAGGTAGGAACGCTAGTAAAGTCAAAAACATTCGGCACCGCTTTACATGCTGCATTTGCGTAAACTGATGGTACAACAATTATCCTATTTCAGAAACAAAACAAATACATGTCGCGAGTATCTGCATCCCAGTGCTTATTCTGCGGGTAAAAATTTCCAGCTCTGGGATGGCATGATGCCCTGAATGCTGATCACGATCTGCGCTAGGTTAAGCAGAAACACTTTACGAAAAAGGAGAGGTGCACACACCGGCTCGCCTGTGTCTCGGAGGTGCCAAGTGTACCGACCGTCATGACCGGTCACGCCGATACTGCGACACCTGAGCTTGAGCACGAAGATTTAAAGGGATGATCTTCGCTTACGTGTAACCCTCGCTAGCCTGGTCGAGGAACCAGGACTGCGAGCCGTCGATGGAGTAGATAGGTTGGAACTGCAGATTGTGTCAGATGTCTAAGGAGCAATCTTAATTTTACAACAGACTGCCTACGTCTTTGATGGCTTTCACGCCCAATGTGTCGTTATCCTTCTCCTGAGTAAGAGTGCAATAGAACTGAGAGAGACCACTAGCATCTGACTGGTTGACTTCGGTCAGGCGCCACTACATACTCTTGTCGTAAGCTCTCAGGGTACAGGATGATCAGAAGGTTCTTCAGCTTACTTTCCGGGATTTCTCTATTGGCGGGCCGTTGATGGTATCTCCGCGAAGTACGTCTTCGCCGCTGCGGATGGTGGCGTAACAATCCGGCTTGCTAGAATTTTGGAGGTAATAGAGGCCATCTTTAGGATAAGTCATACCGGTGGATGATGCAGAGATGGTAAGAATTTGGTTTGATAGAATGATGGACTTAGTGGTCTTGATTTCCCTACCTTTATACCCATGATTCAGACCCAGCAATCCAATCCCTACTGAGACCCTGATCACTCAGACGCTGGTTCAGTGTGTGTCCGCTTCGTAGCTCGGATCTCTCAATTTTTTGAACCTGCTTGTGCTTTATTTGTTTCCGCATCAGTCTTGTTTTCCTGTGATTTGGGGGCTGAAGCTCGGCGGAGTGCCTTACTAGGCCCTGTCTGAGTCGACAGACGTTCAAATCTTAATTTTTGTTCCTTTCGCCGCGGCGCTCTGAAATTGATAGGGGCTACAATTGCTACCATTCTCTCCGCAGAGGCTAACCTCTTTCTCACTCTCTTTCTATCCGTGTTTATTGTCCGCTGGGGCGTAACCCTTTGGCAGACAGTACGTCAGTATCGTTCGAGGCTGAGTCTCTCCGGCTTTGATCACAGGCCCGTGTACCTTTCGCGTTTCCAATTGGACGACCTGGGCATTGCAAATCACAACCTGGAGATGCTAAGAACATTGCAAATCTGCGCTTCGTCTATTTCCCTTTACAGCCGATTCCTTCAACATGCCATTTACAAGCTATAGGGCACCACACTGGCTATGTATGCGAGCAGCGAGGCAAAAAAAAATGGCAGTTGAATGTAATACCGGTCAGTATGTAATGATATGGATGGTTAGTACGAGTCAATAAGGCGGGCGAGGTGAGTAGTAGTTTGGCGCCGTGGATATCGAGGGCTATTTTGTGGTTGTTTCTGACAGTTATGCAACAGCGCACAAATGACTTGCTCAGTCTTTGTCCAAAGCAAATCGTCGACGACTAACTCACAGCCTTTCTCGTCACGAGGGACTTGGTGTTTGCGTCTTGTGATTGACTCGGACGCCTTCCAACAGTATCTTGAACCGCCGCAAACTTTTCAGGCTTGTGTGCATTGTAACTCCGAGTCCGAGTGCTCACGAGGAAATAGAGTGAGGCTCGAAGTCGGTGGTTCGCAGATGGCGGCTGTACTAAGCTACGAATATGGATCCTACGATCGATCTACGTACGATATATCATATAGCTCGATGTTCGGATCCGAATAGCCAACAGGCCGTGACATTATTTAAAATGCTCTTACAACCCTCCTTCAAGTTATGATTTGCGAATTGCAATGCCCGAGTCATCCAATAGGCTGTAGGCAACGCGAAAGGTACCCCGGGCCCGTGGTTAACTTTGAAGCCAGAAAGAAGCCTCAAACACGAGAAACATGCTGTACTTACTGTGCACCATTGGTTACGCCAGTGGGCAACTAGCACTAGTGAAAAAGAGGAGGAGTTAATTGAATGGTAGCAATAATTGCAACCCCTGTCAATTAGAGGCGCCAAGATGAAAGGAACAAATAATGAAATGTCGAGCCCCAAGGCACAGGGAGACATGACCGATGCGGAAACGAACACAGGACAAGGATGTTCAAAAACTTGAGAGATATGATCAGTGAGGACAAACTAAACAGTGTCTAAGAGAAGGGATTGTAGTAGGGTAGCAAAGAAACCACGACTGCTAGCTCTTAAGTCGTGGTGTGGTACAACACACAGAAGATGTTTCGCAACACGCGTCTAGTCTAAGTCTCCCATAGTCAGACTAGTCAGAATGAAGACACGAAATTAGGGGCTACACCCAAACCCCAGCTGACGCCCTCTGAATCGCGACTCGAGCAGGGATGCACTCATTGCCGATTAGTCGCATTTGGGTGACTGCGTACTGAAGACTCATTCTCGGTATAAAAGCTCAGCGTTCCCCTACTTTTCCTTTAGCAATTCCTCGTCTCACTCTCAAAGTACTTAACCTACACAAACAGTCATCCTATACAAACAATGGGTTTTCCTACCGACGGACTCTATATGATCAGAAACACCGGCAGAAACCTCATGCTTGATCTGTACAACAACAATGCAGTTGAAGGCAACCCGATCAATGGCTGGACCGACAATGGTAACCTGCAGGCTCAAAGGGTACTTATCCACATTCGTATACCCGCTTGATGAAGTTCTCTAATACACGTCTCATACGTAGTGGATCGTTAGGAATCAAAACCACCCAGGGTCCCAGCACAAAACCATCAGCATTCAGTCCAACAATGCCGGGAACCACGGCAATGGATTTTTCACTGCGAAACAGGTAGGCTGGGTTGGGGTTCATTACTTGATTTACTTGGTGGTTGACGCGGACGTGGGCAGGACTCGGGTGAACGAGTCCGGTACACCAGGATTGCGTGTCTTGTTGACCTTGTTGGACGCACGAACAATACGTTTACGTGAGAATCCGCAGTGCTCAGTAGTTGGACCTACTTATGCTAAATCAACGACCCTCATGTATACAGCATGAGCTTCACTCGCGGGAACGCGGATCTGGTGCTCGCCATTCCGAGTGGATCGGAGTACGATGTACGTCAGCGGATCTTTTTTTCGAGCCCTTTTGCTGAACATATTCAATAGGTGAAACTCGAGAATTACCATGCCGGAAGTGCCCGTCAACAGTGGGAATTTACCAAGGTGTAACTGTCGCCAGGCTCACCATGTTGCAATTGGTCGCTTTTCTCTTCGTTATTGTCTGCTGTTTGCCTTTGCCATTGTATGCCTTGACCGTTTGTTTCGATTATTATCATGACTTGATACGTGTACCTATTCAGGTTGTACAAATTGTAGTCTCGAGGCCGCGTTGGAATAATGATGCACTGACCTTTGAGTGTGTTGCAATTTTTGTCCATGACCGGCATTGTGCTATTCAACACTTGGGACGCAAGATAGCCTGCAGTTCGCTCACTGGGGAAGCGTTACTAGCAGGACAGCCCTTGTGCTATTTCAATTCGAGGAGCTGAATACATCGATATTGCAGAACAGCAAACAGTCAATTACTGAAGGCTATCCAGCGCCGGGCTCTGGATTGGGGGCTGGACGACATCTGGCGGCAATACGTGCGAGAAGAGATTGCAAAGTTCATCAATTTGTCTCGTTCTCGAGTTAATGTCCTGATTCGTGGGTGACATCGCGGCATTGCCAGTTATTCTGGAGCAGAGATTCCCCAGATATATCACGAAGGAGCAGAGGGAACCATCGAAAAGCACGGGTGCATCCCGGTAAAGGACCTGAGAAACTCCAGAGGGCTGGCGGAGGACAGAACGAGGAGGATGTGAGTTAGTTCTAAGAGACTTGCATTGACTCACCTGAAATTTTTTACAAGGGCACGCTGCGAAAATCAAGGACTGGTATATTGGCCGACCTAATACGTTTATTGTGAAGAAACAAAACTTTGGTCAAGAGATTGTTGTGCAACAGGGTTTATCACTGTATCGAAATTTGACTAGTCATTTGGGTGGCCAAGTTCATAAAATGATTGGTTGGCACCCGGTGCAAAGTGGTTATTTGGATATGTTTGTGCAATTTGCGACATGTATATTTAGCCTAGTATACACACGCAACTCACAATGCACAAAGACTAGTATGTATATTCCATCAACCACGATTCGACGTACATCTAATGCACCAGGCACTTCTGGTTACTGAAGTCCTCTTGGATATTTTCAGGCATCTGGATCAAAATACAGGCCCTGCTAGGAAACATCCCTTAATGCGCTTGCCAGGACATGCAAAACGTTCCACGAGCCCGCAATGGATTTGCTTTGGGCTAAGCTAGAGGAGGTGACACCACTGCTAGGATGTGTACCGAGGCTACATAAACTGATATATCGTAGTGGTTCAAGGGTCAGTCCGGACTACTCGTGCTTCTTCCCGTTCATTTGCTCACCGAGCATCCAAATAGCACCCCTGGGACTGGTCCCACTCCGTCGAACCATTATCTGAGCCCGAGGCCCGTCAATTTTTGCGTCACGCCGCCCGTGTGCGCTCATTGGTCGTATCATTATTCTTCGAGCAATTTCACCTTTACTCAGCCCTTCCCCTCGAGACATGCGTGTTCCCAGGTCTGCTATCATTATCCTTCATGGCCGAACGTCCTCAAAATAAATATTTGTATCTCTTTCTGTCCCCTACGCTGCGCAGTTGTGCCCTATCATACGTTCATCCGGATTTGAAATCCATCGTGACCCATTGTCCTGCTTTAGAGCACTTATGCATCTCGGACCGGGCTCGCAGCACAGCAGATGAGCTGGTTTTGCTGTCTGACAGTATCCGTTTATGCAAGCGGCTTGTAACTCTGTCAGGTCCACCACTCGATTGGGCAGCATGGAAGCACCTCTCCAACCTCCCCAGCCTACACACAGTATGGACTGACAGACTATCATACAGTGCTCCTAGTTGGCCATTAGAACGGGATATGGTCAAGTTCGCGCCTTTCATCAACGTCACGCGTCTTTCTTTCCGCGCAAAAACGGCTTCGCATACTATTGCAGTCATGCAACACTCGGAATTTCCTTCCCTAAAAAACCTTTTTATCCATGTTGAAGTTTTGCCTTTGGCAGAGGCTGAGCAACTCCTTTGTGCGCTGTCCCAGTGCAAAGCAACGCAGACCTTTGAACAACTTTCCATATCCTCTAGTGGCCCAAGACTTCAGGAGCCCTTAGACAACTCTTTGACAGCGGTTCCATATTTCCTTCCTTTCAGGCAGCTCCGAACCCTCTATCTCCGGCTTCATTTCTGCACTCACCTTGACAACGACCGTCTTTTGGAAGCCATATCAAGTTGGCCACACATCCGCAGTTTGCAATTGGTGGACCCAGAGATGCCACCTGCCATTACATTCCGCGGATTATTTGCAGCGCTTCGTCTACGTCCCCACTTGCATACGCTGAGCATATCAATGGATGCCATAAATATCGATATTGATCCTAAAGCCGAGTCATTTCAATATCCCGCCCTACAAAACTTGAACGTGACTTGTTCTGAGATAGCGGATGCTGAAGCTGTCGCTCGCATCATCTTCTCCGCGTTCCCTCGCATCGTCCGGGTCAGCAATTGGGGTGTTGGGATGCGCTTTTGGAAGCTGTGGGATGAGGTCAATGAACATCTCAATGTTTTGAATGGCCGCAATGTCACGGAGCAGGTGTCTCAGTGGGACGAGTCTGAGGAGGAGACGGATGAGCCCGAGGGGGAGACGGACGGGCGTTTGTGAAGTTTTCTGGAGTTATCCGAGTCTATCGTGTGCCAAAAACGCGCCATGTTTCACCGGTGCGCTCAAGTACATGGCAATTAATGTACTCGTGTTAATTTGTATCATCTGTCGTATCGTTGTATTGTGCATCGGGGGTCGAGAGTACTTGGGAGGAAGACAACAAATGGTTTTATTGCTGTAGCAGCTTGACGGAAATGATGGACTACTTAATGTCACGTCGAAAATTCTGAGAAATAGCGCGTGCAGCGATCTTGAGTGTGATCTTCGGAGAATTATCCGAGTCTGTCCTCTTCCACAAACGCGCTGAAGCTTTACACCAATGAACGCGTCAAGCCAACCAAAAAGATCCAGACGTGGACGAGGATTTGGGAAGGTCAGGACGCACTCTCTACTCCCATGTTCTCTTACCAGATGAATCAGAGCCCTTGCATCAAGTCTTCAACACCGGGCCAACACACCATCGTCAGCGAGCATTTCAATTAGTGATTCCGAGGTCGAAGACGGCGATCGCTTTCAGTCTGAACTACAGCGGAAAATAAAAGCATTTCTAAGGCAGAAGATTCACGATCCATGACGCTCCGTCTCAGAGTGTTTAGCGTTCCACATATGGATAGAGCACATCTCAGAGATGACTGAACTTCGAGCCTGAGGGTGCGTGAGCAGCGTGCAGAGTATAGCGAACATTACGCATACTAGCAAACGACATCAGTTAAGTTAAGAATCTCACTTGTCGTGTTACTGATCTGATTCCCAGTACCAAAATCCACCTCTTCAACTTACAAATGAAATGGAATTGGTCAAAGTGAAACTCCTTCCTTCGGTTGCCCGTACACGTGAAGGATGGTGAATGTATATTTCGCCGGCCATACCAGGCTGATTGTCACACCCAAAAGGGCTGTCGAGGTCTTCGTTGTCGGGTATCCACCTGTGACTCCCACGTAAGCACTGTAGTTATAGGTGATAATGCACGTGTGTCGCACCTGTAAGATCAGGCGGATATAGTGATGTGCATGGCCCGGCTTCAAGCCGTGGGCCGAGCCAAGCCGGGCCAAATTAGGCCGGGCCAAGCCAGGCCAAACTGACGGCCTGACCAGGGCTTTGGCCCGGCTTGGAATTCTGAAAAGCCAAAGCCGACGGCCTGAGCCGCGGCTCCTAGCCTCTACCATCGACAACGACAATGAACATTTTGACACCAAATTTTGGTATATAATTTGGTTCGTAATAAGTTATAACACATGAACAAACGAGGACCAACACACACAACTTACAAGTCGGTCTGTGCTTCAACCAATTCAGCTCTTGTGATCCGCGTGGTCAATACAACTCAATGTCACATTACAATTACTAATTACTGCTTGCGCCAGTCTTACCTTGATAGTTTTTACAACGTTGCCGCACAAATTCGGAATGGTCTGCTTGGCTAGGTTGAATGGACTCGTGCCAAATTGAATCAAGTTGAACAACCCCAGCGGGGCCCGTGTACCAGCCGTCGCACACATCCAGCCTCGAATCTTCCAAAACCCTGCAACCTTTGATCTTGAGAGCGCGACTTTTGCTTCTCAGGCTTGTAATTCACACTTTTGCTTACAATAGACGGGCGTTGGCAGGTCTTCACTGATCAATCAGGCATTCGGAGTGGACAAAGCGGTAGGCTGCTCATCATCTTAAACACAGTAAGTCGCTGATGTTATCTCCATAGTTCACTTCGCATGAAAAGCCGGGCGAAGCTAACATCGAAGAAGAGGATAACATCAAAATAGTCCAAGATTTTATCGAACATAGGATATCCAAGCCTGCTCTTGTTAAGACCGTGTTCAACGGGTCGGACCGGAGGGGCTTAGCTTCAGCTCGTGCGCTGCACTCTTTACCCGAGTACGTGCCCCTAATTTACAGGGGGTTGGATATCGTTGGCCGAAGGGTATAGACGGGCCGGACGAGAGAGAGAAGACTACCCGAGACTTCGTCCGGGTAGAAACTAACAAGGTACAGACTACCCGAAGGTAGAGGCGGAGGTATTTAGCCTTAGGGATATAATCCCGAGGCTCGGAGGATCGGACTAGGGTAATAATCCCAAGAGCCGAAAGGACACGAGGTTTGAACAGAGTCTAAGTTAATATTCGAACTGAGGAAATACCACGGGTTACAAAGGGTTTATATACTGTAGTGTATCCGACGGGTTTCCGGCCGAAGCGCAGTCTTCGGATCAGAGGGCTATGTAGAAAATGTACTAACGGATATGAACCGCTGCGGACGATCGAGAATGGAGCCGGAGATTAAATGAAACAGGGGGGACAAGTTAAATGAAAGGGAAATGAATAGACTAACGGACGGATCAGAATGAACCCGGACATTAACTGTCAGGATGATCCGGACACATAGGGGCAGAAAGAAGCCTATACAAATGGGGACTCAGGGAAATGAATTCTAGAACGGACCCGAGGAATCGGGTGGATCGGACCGGACGAGAAGCCTCATGTATGGGATATGACAGTATCCCCCCATTAAGGCCGAGCCCACGAGGCCGAGGCCGGATCTCCGATCCGATGATAAGAGCGCGAGAACGGATCCGGATTTTTAGCGAAAAATTGATAAAGGGTTGAGGGTCTTTGATGGGACGCCATTCCCTTTGATTCTTACCACCCACCAACTCCACTATCATGTCCCAGACCCCATCCGACTCTACCTCGGCTACCAATGCCCGGCTTGCGGCCATCCGGGCCCGGCTAAACGCAGCGCAGCAAGAGCTGGCCCAGGAGGAAGAGAGAGTACTCGCGGAAATGGAAGCCGAGCGAAAGCGTTTGGAGGAGGAGAAGCTGAAGGAGGAGGAGAGGCTGAAGGAGGAGGAGAGATTAAGGGAGGAGCAGAAGAAGAAGGACATAGAGGAGACCCGGAAGAGGCTTGCTGAGAAGTCCGCTTCGTCCGGGCCTGCAGTGAGTAGCGTATTTCGTCGGCCGATGTTTTTTGTCTGATGGACATAGGTTTCTGTTGGCTTTAAGGACGTCGGACGACCCTGTAAGCCCTGCTCCGATAAGAAGCGGGCCTGCGTTTACTCGGGCGTGTCTGCCACGGGCCGGGTGAGTGGACTTCTTTCGTCCGGATGTGAGTTTTACTGATGTTTTGAAGCCGGTCAACGCGTGTGACCACTGTCGCACTGCGAAGATGAAGTGCCATGGTGGGGCGCCACCCGCCCGGACGGATACTGACAAGGGCAAGGGTAAGAAGCGGCCCTGTGCTGCGGGGACTCCGTCTCCTAAGGGTAAGGCAAAGAGGCGTCAGAGGAGTCCGGTTCCTTCGGACGACTCTGTTGAGATCGTCCCCGGCCCCTTGCCCAGCATCATCGGCGAGGAGCTGGAATTCCAGGAGTATGACGACCAGGCCTGGGTGGCGGCTGTCAATGACATGGTCACAGAGTTGGCCCGGACCAACAGTCTTCTCGAGAGGACCGTTGAAGCGGCCGAAAGTAGCACGGGTGCCATCGGCCGGCTCCTGGAACAACAGAGGGTCTTCCAGGCCCTCTTTCTGACTGAGATGAGGATGTTTTTCCAGAGGGAGAGGGAGTTGGAGAAGGGGCCGGATACTGAGGAAGAGACTGAGGAGGGTGAGGAGGAAGGGTCCGGAGATGAGGCTGAAATGGAGGAGTAGGGTGGTCCGGATGGTCCGGATGTTTCTTCCCTATGTACAATGTATCTTTTTCTTCGTCTTTTTACTGTACAACAATAGGACCCGGCTTGTCCGGATATGCTGAATGAAAGTCTTGTACGAGTTCGGACGCGTTTCCAAGTTCAGTAGCGAGGATCCACGATGTTTCTTCGTCCGTCCCCTGATAACCGGCCCACCTAACTAAGTAAAGTAGTTGACACGTCCGTCTTCTACGGTCGATTTTGGTATCAAGGATTTCAGAGATCTCGTATTCCGGTTCCCCGTCGACTGAGACGGGTGGGGGAGGTGGTTGGATTCGGTTAGGGATGGTGTTCGGGGTTGCGGGTTCGAGTTGGGAAACATGGAAGACGGGATGTACGGATCGCATTGCGTCCAGGAGACGGATTGTGAAGGAATGGGTGCCCGGGCGGGCGATAATATCGAAGGGTCCGAGGTTCTTTTCGGATAGTTTCTTCGACGGACGGGTGGAGCGGAAGTACTTGGCTTTGACGAAGACTTGTTGTCCGACCTGGAGATCCGGTGCGGGCTTACGTCTAGCGTCGGCCGGGCCTTGATATCGATCCTGCGCATAAGACATCTCATCCCGAAGGAATTGATGGAGCTCATCGAGGTCAATGGCGTATTCTCGGGCCCGGGCGGATGAGAGGTCTCGTTCTGGATGTATGGATATGTTCGGGTGATAACCCTTATTCGCGAAGAAGGGGGAAACACCCGTGGTAGCACTAGGAGCATTGTTGTATGCGAACTCTGCCAAGGGCAAGAGCTCGGACCAGTTGTCTTGCTGGTAATTACAGTAGATCCGGAGGTATTGCTCAAGGGTTTGATTGGCGCGCTCGGTCTGACCTGTCGCCTTCTGGGTGATAACCGGAGGTGAAATGCAAGGTCATGTCCAGTGCTTTGCCGAGGGATCGGAAGAAGTGGGAGACAAACTTCCGTGCCTCGGTCGGAGGTGACATGGGATGGAACTCCGTGCTTGGAAAACACGTGGAGGAGGAATAGCTGAGCGAGGTCCGGGGAGGTTATGGTGTCGTAGGTCGGGATGAATATGGACTGCTTGGATAAGCGGTCTATGACGACTAGGATGGCGGTAAATCCGGCGGAGGATGGAAGTTGTTCGATGAAGTCCATGGATATGGAATTCCACGGCTTCTCGGGGATGGGGAGTTGTTTGAGTAGGCCGTAGGGCTTATGTCTAGGGACTTTAGCCCGAGAACACGTAGTGCAGGACTTAACATAATCCTTGACATAGGCACGTACTCCCGGCCAAGTATACTCCCGACGGATTAGCTCTAGGGTCCGGTTCTGACCGAAGTGACCCGATAGGGGGTGATCATGGGTGTTCCGTAGGACCCGTAAACGGAGGTCATTGGACTCGGGAACGAATATGCGATTATCGCAACGGAGGAAACCCTGATTATCTACGGTCCATCTCGGATCCGAAGGCTCAGGAAGATGGCTGGAAAGCGATAGGATCTTCGGGCAGAGCTGATAGGATG